AATATGGGACAGTGAAATCCAGTATATGATGCCAAACAAAATTAGCCTTTTTTTATGGTTTCAGAGTCTTTATTTATGTAAAAAAATTTTTGAGGGCAAAATGTTGTCTTTTGTCTTATGTTTAATACTAAAATAGCAAAGTAAAAATGTAAAAAAGAAAGTCATGAGCCACAATTTTCAATTGTGTTTGATGTATTTTTCCCTTCTTCATTGAACATTTTAGATCTCTTTATGCCCTTCTAATATAAGGTGCTTTAAACTCTCTTTGTGACTCTTCTCTGCACTCTCTTTAAAGATCAGAAGTCACCAGGATCATGCTTAAGTGTTTTTCTTATTCTACATTTTCTCTTGAATGAACACCTTCACTGCTGAGCTTTCAGTAGCTGTTGTGAACCTCCAATAACTGTGTTCCTGATAAATTATAAGCATAGATGTCCAGCTAGCAATGAAAAGTTGCACACTGACTACTTTCTCAGGAAGACAAAACCAGAGCATAATATTTATGAGTAAAGTGAGATCCAATTCAATCATTATATAATTAATGTAACAAGTCAGAATCATTAAATTGGATTTTTGGATGACTGAGTCAAATGAAAGTAGAAAAGAAAGAAAAGAGCCAGGATTCTATTGGAAAATATTGATCAGTGTAGAAATCAGCTCTGCCTTATATGACCAAAATGTCCCTAGACAGCATGTGATAGCAAAGACTGAGAGATTTTCGGTGACCCAGCACTGGCTCTGAGATCATGAGCTTCCTGTGCTTTAATGTTGCCTTTTGTGAATAAGAGTAATAGTAGAACTTCTTACTCTCTGCTTCATCTACTGATGGTTTCAATGATTCAGTGGGTTGGCTGAGCACCTAACACTTGTACATGTTCAATGAATGTAAAACATGATAGTGTTCTTTATTGGTAAAGTGAGGATCAGTTTTATGAATTCTACCAAAAAGTGTTTGATTAACAATAAATGCACAATTTAAATATTTTATTATAACTAACATTGTTTTAATGATTATGTACTCTGTTAATAGAAGTGTTCTTTGAAAGTATAAACTCTTTTGTTTATTTCTCAGAAACATGACAGGAAGTATGCTTGCCTTCTGAGGTTATTTGCCCATTAGTGGAAGACTTGATATTAATAATTAATACTTGTCCATTATCTAGAGAAATCCTACATACTTATATTCACTTATTCAAATACACATCAGGCTTTAATTTCCACCTATTTGATGCCAGCCTATCCTCAGTTGTGATCAGTTGTAAGAAGGAATGACCTAATCAGAACTAAACCAGTAAGTGAAATCTCAGGGCTCATTGAGGGGACTAAAGATGGGCCTAAGGTGACTAAAGTCTCTGAGTCACCTGATTACCAATTGGTTTATGCCTTTCATCTTTTAGGCCTGCAGAATTTGGTTCTGTGTTATCTGTACTGACTTAAATTGCAAAACTGGTTGTTGCAGTCAGGGGTTATGAGGAGAACAACTGTTATCAGGACACAGAATTTATAATATTATTTTATGATGGTCACGCAGAGTTAACACAAGAAAGTACAGGAAATCCACAACACTAAAGACCCAGAATATTCAGCCAAGGGCCTGAATCCCACAGCAATGCTCTGCATGAGTCCAGATGAAGACCTAGAGCCCATGACAATGTCTCCCAAAGTCCAACTGGAGGTCTAGAGCCCACGAGAAAAACTCACTCCAGTCTGTTTTATGGATTTGCACTGGGAAAGCCCAAAGGTCAGTGGTGGAAGCTAGACAGTCTATGCCAGTGGGGTGAAGGAGCTGTGCTGGTAGATTGAGAGTTCTACATGGGAGCTGAGAAGTCACACTTATAATGAAGACCAGGGCTGTCGTGAAAAGCACCACAGCCATCCTCAGTGACACGGAGGTCCAGAGCTCCTCCAATGATAAGAACAGCCAAATATATGCCAGAAAGTCAGCATGACGAGTTCCTCCTGGATTTAAGCAGCACAAACCTTCCCCTCTGGAACCAGGAAGCAATGCTTGATGTAAGTACCAGAGCTCCCCCAAAGTGAACCACAGCCAGTCTCACCAACAAGGTCTGGAGCTCCTCTGATGACAATGGTCAAACTCACACTGGGAAGCTAGTCATGAAGAGCTCCTCCAAGGGAACCAATGGCTCAAACAGCAACACTTAGAGAAACCCACCATGCCTCCCTCATCTTCTCCACATCTCTGTTTATGCTGGCAACTTTCCTTAGATGGAACATCTATGCTTAGCATCATGCTGATTTAATTCAGCTGATGTTAAGTTGACCATCAGTTTTTAAGCACTGGTCTTGACAAAGTTATAGTGAGACTTAGTAAAACAATATGGAAAAAGTTTTCATTCAGGAGCATTGGGACAGGTATTGAGACTATCACAATGGAAAACATACAAATGCACCCAAGATGACCAACAAACAGAATGATGGGGTTGATGCAAAATTATTAAGAAGAGAAATCAAGAGAGGGGAATCCTTTCTAAACCTGTTTAACAAAATTTTTGCTAAAGACAGACAAATGTCAGCAGATATGAAGAGAGGAAATAAATTAGTCAAGACATCCAGGGTGATTAAACATGAAGGGAAAAAGCATTGTAATAAAGTCAACTTACCAAGATTCCAACAGTAATATGACTAGAGAGACCAAAAACAAGGCATGTGCCAAAGAGGAATCCAGATTCTGCATATCCCAGGTAATAGGGAGGAGCTAGTTTTCAGAATTATGATGCCATTGGACTCAACTGTCAACAAAAATGGAAAAACCACAAGGCACATAATAAAATTATTGTTAATTCTAAAGAAAATCAATTAATCATTAGATTCTGTCCCTGAAAAACACCCAATAGCAGAACTGCTAAATGAATACAGAAAACAGTCTTAAATATGCTCAAAAATCAATTAAAATGGGAATAAATTGAAGAAAAGTTGATATTAAAAAATAGTCTCACCAATAAGGAGATTTAGAACCTAGATAAGAAATCAAAAAGAAATTATGAAGCTGAAAAGTAAAAAAACTGAAATGGAAAATTCACAAAAGGAATCAAAGGAATATTTGAGTAGACTGAAGAAAGAATCAGTAAGGTTGAAAATGGGACAATGGAATGGTTGTAAATGTAGAAAAACATTAAAGGAATGAAGTGTTAAAGGAACTATGGAATACCACCAAATAACGGGAAAACAATGATTTGCACCCCCAAATAATTTTATGCATGTTTAGGCATGCCATGCTAATTAATTAACTTGTTGTTGGTCATCTGCCTTTATCTTCTTTCAGATTGCCAGGCATCAAGTAGTTTGGTATCTTCACAATGACATTGGCATTCATTTGCATATGCCAAACATAAGTAGCTTTTTACACTCAGTAGAAAACATTCATTTCCCTAGGGTAGTTCTTCTATTTTTTTTAAACTGAGCTGAGAAGGTCTTCAGGTGTTCCAATTGTGGACCAAGTTCTTGAGGAATTTGCGTCTTGGGTCTCACTCCTAGCATTTGTGGAACCATTTGTGCTAAAGAACTGGTAATTTGCTATAGCATCTTGAGGAAGCTTGCTCTTCAGTTCTTCTGGAATTTTCTCAAAGTAATTTCTGTTCGTCAGACAAGAGAAAACATTTCTTCACTATCTGTGTAATACAAAGATCAGATCTTGGCTCTGAGGCCATTTTCACCCACAAAAACGGGTGGCAGTGCAGAAGAACATCAGTAGGCTCGTCAGCCTAGAGAAGGAGTGAGCACTGATCATATCATGTCAACTTGAGTGGATTGAGAAACACCTAGCTGATTATAAAGCACAGTTCTACATGCCTCTGTGGATGACTGACATACAGCTCAGCAAACCAAGAGTGAGGAGAAAACATACCTAGACAAGGGTGACAATAGGCTGGATGGAATAAAAAGGAAAAGAGGAAGAAATGTGCTCATTCTGAAGAGGTCCAGTGTTTACCTTTACCTTTGAACACTGGTCTCCATTTTCTTCAGCCTTCTGACCCACACTCACCCCTGCAATGCTGCAGTGAGCTTTCAGGCCATCAAACTTGACGTAGTGCTCTATCCTTGATTTCATTTATTCTACAGTTTCCATTACCTTGGCCCAAGCAGCTATTGTGTTCTCCAGCTCTTCAGGATGCTGGATTCTTTTATCTCTGATTCCTCAAATGGCCATTTTGGTCTCTCCAGCTTCTGATCCTATGAGCCTGCCCTAATAAATCCTCTTGCACAATTAATATTTATTATGTAGTTTCTAGACCTGTACACCAAACTGCCAACAAGTCCTCTGCATGCTCTTATCTCTCAGATACCTTAGAAAGAACATTTAGTATTTCCTTTTCCATTCCAGCATCTTTGTAGGTAACATTTTGGTGGAGGAATATCATTTTCCTTCTCTTCTTTTTGTAGTATTTCATATAAGTTACATTGCATAGTTGAGTTTTATCTCTTCCCTTGAAGAATGAAAGTTTAAATAGAGCACAAATTACATTAGTCTTTTTCACCTATATTTCTTGACAGAAATTTTATAATCTACTATCTTGATACTCCATATATATAATGTGAATTGCATGAATGTATAACTAAACAGATATTACAACCAATTTGGTTTGAAAAAAGTGTATGGACTTAGTGTTAGTAAAGAAATTTTAGTATTAGTAAAGAAGTTTTCTCATGGATAATTTCTAACTAAAAATATAAATTAAAAAGCACATTTTATGAATTGTATTACAGCACAAAAGTGGATGTCTTACATGATTTATATAAACATAAATATGACAAAATGCATTAATACATAAATATAAATAAATATACAAGCAACAATAAGGTTGTCATCTTTTCAATAATGGTACTCCTAGACCAAAATATCTTTAAAATGTACTTGCCTAACATTACTGGTAAGGTGTTCCTTGAAGTCATTTCTGAGACTGACAGTAATTAAAACCTTTGGCCATATCTAAAACATGGGAACAAATGTGATATGTCATATTAGTAAAAAAAAAATTATCTCAGCAATTCTGTATCCTTCTTATCTTCTCTTGCAACTTTGCTGACAAAGAGAAAGCTCTCATGATTTCCACCCTGACAATTTCCCAGGCACAGTCACTGTATTTCTTGTCTTCCAAGTAGAGGCGAATGCCCAGGAAGTACCTCCGCAAGGCCAGGATTGGATTCTGAATTGCCAAGACACATCCTTCCTCTCTCAGTACTTGCACCAAGCAGGTCTTCATGACTTCCAGCTGCTGATGGAGCACAGTGTGAAGCTTGTGCAGGATGGTTGCATTCCAGGCAGCAGAGGAGAGCTGTGTGTTGAAGAGAGTAAGAATCTGCTGTAATGTCCCTTGCAGAACAGACACCATCTGGGCCTTCTGTAACTTGCTGCTAGTCATCATCTTCTGGGGGAGTAGAAAGTTGCTTCTGTCCTTCAGGCACAAAGATCGGGGCATTTTTCTTATCTGGCCCAGGAGCACAAATGTCTTCTTGCAAAGCAAAACAGAGTTCTGAGGCAGGTCACAGCCCAGAGAGCCAGCAAGCCCATAACAGCACAGCACCAGGGCAGTCAGCAAAAAAGGCAGGAGGGCCATGGGGCAGAGCAGCTGCTGCTAGCCTGGCTGAGCTGAGTGTGGGTGAACTTTGGACCTTTAGATCTCTGAAGATACCGTTAATACGTGTGCCTTTTAAATAGGGACTACAATCTTCATTTTCTGAAATCTTTTACAACTTTACTTCTATTTTTAATTTTCATTTCTTTTTTTCTTCAGAGACTAAGTTAGTAGTTTTGCAATAAAAGAAGACTTTTCCCAGTAAATTTCATTTCTGTCAGTCCAAATAGCTTGATAAATTTACCAGTCCAACAGAAAATATTTGTAGCCTGAAGACGGAAGTTTATATATGCATGTAAATACTGATCCACACATATACAATGTCTTCTCATGAATAAATGCTGTTCTTTTTTTGTTAAAGGAACATAAATGTTGCCCTTATCTTAGCCTGCATTTTTCCTGGGTTACTTTAGATAGAAAAAAAATCAGTCTCCCTTAGCTCTGTGGGTTTCTGTATTTGTTTAAGTATTTACTAGGCCATTCAAGGCAGATAAAATCTTTAGAATGAAGAAGGCAGCATATTTCTCTGTGTCTGTCACAAAAGAAACTGATGATTACTCCTTCAAAAGCACGTCCACACAGGGCCATATGGTCATGCTTCATGGGAGACATAAAGTCAGGATTAAGGTAGACATTACCCTTTCTGTGACCCATATTCCCACTAAGGGCTTCAGTGGTCTTCTAGCTATATTAACTACCACTTACTTGAATCCTGGTTCTTTCCAGTTGTACATGTTTGTGTATATTCTAAGTATAAGCTGATGTTATCACTCTGAAACTACCCCACACAAAGATGGTTATCACACATAGTTACACTAATGACTGACTCCCCAACAGTGGATTCCCTGCATCCTGATCACTTTAGAATTCCCCTATTGAGGAAGGTGTTGATTCTTCGTTGAAAAACTAAACAAACTTGATAAGAACCTATCCCTACCCACAGAACACTTAAGTGAAGGACTTTGTGCTCTCTGTGTTGTCCTTACTTGATCCACTGGCCCCAGCCCACAGATGCCGACTGTCAAAATATATCTTTTCTAAGTAGGTAGAGGAGTTATTTAATTACAATTATTATGTTTTCAATAGTCACATAGGTTTATTTTGCCAAGTTAAACTATGACTGTTCAACTTTTAAAGGTAAGCTATTGAACACATGTTGTCCTTGAAGTTCCTGAGGTGAGTACAGGAGATTTTAGAGATGATTTAGAGTTGTCTCTCATTCAGCCTAATATTCACTGTGAAAGTTATCACGTTGGCATGGTTGTCTTGATTGTCCATGGTGGCCAGTGTTAACAGAATACATGATTTCTCCCCCACAACTTGTGGATTTTTTAAAAAAATTAATAGACATTATATTAATTTTGCAAACATTTTTCAATTCTGAAATAAAAATCAACTGTCACTGTGCTAATGTTGACTTCCTTGCTTATGTGCACAAACACGGGACTGCAACTCAGCATAGATGTAGTAAAAGCCAGGAAGTGGTACCAATATGGCTCTCTTCAGGAGCACTGATCCTCATCTTAGGGGGCTCATGTGTGGAGGGCTGGAGGGTAAGGTCTGGTTCCAGGAGGGCAATGTGAGCTCAATTCAAACATTCTATCCCCAGTCTGGGTTCCTCCAGCCTTGCTTTTCAGTTTTCCCATTCTGCTGAACATGTAACAAAGTTGAAGATATAAAACAAAATATGTTCATTTCAGGTCAAGGCAAGAGTATGGAGCCAATTCATAGTTTCTGCATATAATATAAAATACCGTTTAAAGAAAATTCCTTTGTAAAAGGAAACAGGTCATAGTGTATGCAAAGTACTAAGTAATAAAAAAACCAGCTAGATTTATAGACATACATAAGAAAAAGTCCAGGTTACCCTGCTCCTAAACTAATTCCATCACAAGTGGAGGAAGAACAACAACAACAAAAAAAAAACAAGACACAAAAATCATTTCACATGTAAATCAGAACCCACTGATACACCTACAGGTTAGAAATAGCCTAAAGGCTGGATCTCTAACCTCAGGCAGAGTTTAAGAGATTCCAGCTGAAGTGTAGCCCCTTCCTCCTGCCTGAGCAATTCACACTTATTTCTTACTTCACTTTTTCAAGTGCAACTGTGTGTGGATCACCTTAGCACTCTTCACCTGTCCAAAGGACAACCAATAGGTGTCAGGTGGCAATCCTTGTATTCCATGCAGTTCTTCTACTGTGTCTGTACTCTCTGTAAGGACAAGCTCTGGGCAGTAGTATGCACTTCTGATCATAAAGTCAAGAATCATGATCTGGTAACAGGAAGGAATTTATAACATGGACCACTCACTCTTAGAAAAGAGTTAATCCACCACCACGCTGGAGATTCTCCTGAATTCCCTCAAGGTCCATCCCAGGTAGACAGGCTCCTCAGGTGTCCTGCGGAACTCAGAGGCAGGGCTGGTTCAGGAGCTCTGACCTCTGTGCAGACTGGACACAAGAGACAGATTCAGACCCTCCCCTCCTTACAGAGCTGTCCACTGCCCAGCGAGTACAGGACCTGCCTAAAGTTGGAGGGATTTCCTTTTCCTAAAATGAACAAGCCAAGGAAACAGTTTTGTTTCAGTAGTAGGCCAAATCTTTCCAGGAAAATAGCTTTTTTAGCCATGACAATACAATCAATCAAATAAACAAGCAACAAAAAAAATGTCAGTGGAAAGAAATAGACATCTGCATAAACAGAAAGAAAAACAAGATGTCCACACAGGGCGATTTCTTCCATGGTGTCAGGCCAGCAGGTAGTGATTATCCTCTGTAAATCTTTGCACAAGGAGTAAAGTGGATCTGGCCTTCTATTGTCTTTCAGCCACAGCACAGTGTTAAATCATTGTAGCAACATTCCAGCAATTCCAAACATGTTCATCAGAAGGAAAAAGAATTCTTTTATGTAAGCATTGCTGGAATATCCAGAGCTTTTAATCAGTGGCTTTGTACTCTCAAGGGGAAATACATGGCCAGAAATCACAAGGGAAGACAAACCAGGTATGTGCCTCTTCAAAGGTGCATTCCATGGGGGATGAATGAGAAGGACACCGGGAATTTCTAGAGGAAAGAGAAAACAACTACTGTGATCTTGTAAAGAAAGAATGCAATCCACAATAGAGAGCAAAGGGGAAATATGCCAGGCATTAGTACCCACAGGGGAGTATTACATACATTTCACTTCAGACTAGAAGACTAACTTTTCTCCCAGTGATGTTTAATGCAGCCATGTCCTGACTGATTAAGCAAGTCAGATTTATCTTCCTTATGAAAGGTGACTATACTTCAAGTCTTCTCCAGAACCCTTCCCAGAATTCCTTTTTTTTAAGCTACTAAATAAAGAAACATAAGACAGTACGTAACTCTGATACATAGCTTTACAAAATATGCACAAAAATGTCGAAAAAGAAGCCTTGTTGAAACTTGAAGAGAAATCTCCAAGTAGTGATAGGATTTCTACCTAAATTAGAAAACTGCCCCCTCTTCTTGGTCCCTGCACCTCTCATACTTTACCAGCCAGGCAACTGTCCTCCCTGAGAGTTTTCATAGCTGGATACACTGGACCCTATTTTCTGTTTGCTTTCAGTTATAGCTACTATTACATATCACGCAAAGCAAATTAATGATCGTTTCTCTTACAGCTGTTTCTGTAAAACCTAGGCACATTAACTTCTGTCTCTTGTGGTATTCTGGTCTTTAGGGAAGCCATTCAGCAGAAACCACAAGAAAAGAGAAAGCAGCTCTGTGATTGTGCAGGAAGGTGTACAGAGAAGGAGCAGCGTGCCATGGGGTTCTACCTGAGAGAGGAAGGGCAGTGTGCTGTTATGGGTACTTATGCAGCAATGCTGGGGCAAGGGAATGGCCAGTAAACTTAGCCTGCAGGAATGCTGGGAGCAAGGGAATCACTGAGTAAACTTAACCTGTCTTCTGCATTTCAGTCTAGATTTATCTCCCTCCCCATTCAGATATTTATGCAAGTAATTATTTCCCGATTGAATATGAATAGGATACTTCTCCACAGCTCATGACAGAATTTGGTCTTTTTAGGTAGCTTTTGGAGAGCAGTTACTTCAGTAAGATCTGAAGTAAGGCACAGATCCTAAGAATTTTGAAAAGATAAATAATATTATCATGTTCAGTGAAGAAAGATGGGAAAATGCCTACCATATTTTAAACATTACTCTATGGAAGAGTATGCTAAGTGCTTTAAAGCATGTGTATGGGCATGTGTGAGTTCATTTACTAGCCCAAATTCTATAAACATTTTGGATCTGTGTGGTTAACGAAAAAACAAAGCTTGGAAATTTAGAGAATGGCTCAATATCACACACATATTCAAGCAAATGGAATTTCTGAGTAAAATATTTTATTCTGATTTATGAATGCTTTTTTAAAAAATTTCATACTCTGAATTTCTTCTATAATTGTTGAATCTCTTATTACTTAATAGTTATATAAAATTTTCTCCTGCTTATAAATGTCTATGTTTCATGTTTTATTTTCAGCTGGTCTTGACTTTTATGTTAACATCCAGTAGTTAAGAAGAGATTTTCAGATTAAATTTCTCACTTTTATTTTAGAAAGGAGGCATGTCAATCTCTATGCCTATAGTAATTTTTTTTTTTTTTTTTTTTTTTTTGGTACTGGAATTCAAACTCATGACCAAATACTTGCCTGGCAGGTACTTATGTCATTGAGCTGTATCCCTGGCCCCTGCCCATTGTAATTCAATTATTATTAGATTCACCTCTGACTGTTAAGTGTCATAATGTTAGATATATTAGTCATAATGTTAGATGTCAGGCAACTGAGTTAGACAGAAATATCATAGGCAGTCAGATAGGGCTAGACCCTCAAAGATCCTGTGCAGAAGGCCAGATACTTTGCAAATTTTTAGAAGACAAATACCTCCCCAGTGGGCCAGACCTCAAAACAAATAGGACTCTATCACCCTGAAGAGGCCAGAAAGAGCCATT